TGAACTTTTGGGGTCTACTGCTCAACTGTACTTTGAACTTTAGTGGATTCGCGCTTCCTGCCTGTCCTCGTTTCCTCTATGCAACGTGCCTAACTGATTAAACCTGTCGATCACATACTACAGCGAATAGAAATAATAAAAGTGCCGAGAAAATATCGTCATACCTTATGGACATAAGCGTTCTGATTTAATAGCGTCAACTAGTTTTACGTGAGCATTGAAAAGATACCAAAATGTTAGAAGTCGAGCCTAGGAAAACTATACTTAGAGGATACACGAGCTATCTACAGATATATATATATAATAATAGTACTATAGTCTGAGCAAGCAGGGCCGGGTTCCTCTGACCATATCCAACCAAAAAGCGAACTTTATTAATGCACGATTTAATTGCGAAGACTGCTGCTGTAGTTTTTAGAACCATCTAAAAACTTTAGAGGATTTGTTGCCAGATAAACCCACAAAAGAGGGAAACAGTGCTTGGAACTGTACTTGTATACTGCGCCTCGAAAGACAATCAACATAATGACATTATTAACACACAGGACACTCACAATCTTAAGTTGTTCGTATTTAATAATCAACGTTTATTAGCGCGCCGAGGTAGCAGCAACGTAATTAAGCGGACTGGCCTGCTGTTTTGCTATGGTCAGTACGTACGAGTACGAAACGCTTACTTATAATTGAAAGTCCTTAATTAATCAGCTCTATGTTTCACCTGTCATAGGAAAGAGATCGTTGCGCAATTATAAGTAAGCCCAAGCGCATTTTACTATGATCCACATGCGTTTGTTATAGGTTTGGAGCAGCCCTCGAGGGCTTTCAGATAGATATACAGCCACTGTGTGATATTTTTGAAAGCCTAGATAACTGGATCAAAGAAAGTTCCTTTTTTCAGTCCTTTTTGCAATGAAAAAATGTCCAAGTGCAATACTTCTGTTTTATCTTCAGTTTTGTTACTGACTTTGCAGTACAAAGAATACTGTTTCTCGGTTGCTTCCTCGTTGTTATGTAGTCACATTAATCGAAGATATTTGAAGTACCCTCCTTACAAATAGAAGTGATCCTTATATTTGACGACGAAGACATGCCCTTAAAAGAACAAGACAAGTCTTGACTTCTGTGAAAAAAAAATCGTTTCGTGCAACTCTAAAAAGGCTATGGTGATCATGTGGAAATTCAGCATATTGGATTGAAGTTATTTACCTACAAAGATGATCCGGTTGTATTTTTAGTGAAATCAAAGCCTGCACATTTCTACGTTTCCTAAGCCAGCTCTGTATAACTTACAGAGCATCATTCGATGCTTCACAGCTTTGCCTACTCTCTTTCAAGGCTCTCTTGAGCTCTTTTCTCCAACTGCTTCTAATTAGTTTCACTTGAAAATAATAGATGGGCACGTCTGTTTATTGTTAACCAGACTATAAGGACGAACGCTGGTGTCGCTGATCCGGAGCAACCTAGCAGAAGCAAAATAAATGTATAAGGCCAATTTTTTGTGCACGAAATTTCATATACCAGAAGGTCAAACTCTGACACGCTCATTATTACGTTGTAGAGGCCTGTTGATGGGTTGCCAGCAAACGCTTATATTATCTACTGGCAATGACCATGCAAATTAGTCACCAGAGAAGTAATAACCAACACTCTATGTCGCTTTTTTCAGATTGTGATACATCACCTCGTCATATTTTGAATCGTTCACACATGTTACGAGATGAAGTACTTCGTGAATGATGACCTCACGTTGTTAAAATATAAGCTATCGACCTACTAACTGCGTCTTGTAGGGAATCACTGAAAGTTTCACAAAAATACGACGAGCATTATTAGCTATAATATTTCGTCGCCTAATCTAAACCAAGGAATATACATCGTAACATTTGCTACAACGCCATTGTGGCGGTAACCGCGCGTCAAGGGCTAGAAGAGAGTACTTCTTCCTCCTCTCTACTTAAATTAAAAAACATTTCAAAGATCGCGGTAACATTGGTGTATGTCTTACAGTAGTAAAGAATTACTGAAAGGGTTAGGCGGCTGCTCTATGGTGCTCACGAATGTATTGCGCTTACCGGCACTACGATGGGCATAAAGTCAGTAAGACTTTATGTCTTATGTAATATGACATCTTATATATAGCAATTTATTTTATTGCAAGACGAGATGTCTCCTGTCACGAATCAATCCGTACTAAATAATTAATTTGATTTCTTTTGTTTATAAATCTTTTACAATTGCAAGTCATGTGCGGCCGCCCAAAAAACAGTTAACCTGTATTCTTTTTTGTTTCTTTAGTTATTCAACGTAAGAGTAAGCTTGCATCGAAGGGAAGTATGAGCGCTATGTGATTCGGCTAATGGCTTATATTAAGATGCCGGATGGCGTCACGTCCTAACAGAGCAGGGAAGAACAAATGCCCTTGCTACTAACGTTCATACACAGAATTGATGGTTAGATGCTGTACCGCCGGAGCTGTACGATAACGGGTTGGCACCTTAAAAGAGAAGCGTCTCAAGATGAAGTTGCAAAAGGACTCAGAGGGCAAGTAGAACAGGACGAGTTGATAGAATGGGCATCATTAAAACGACGTCGAAATGTAAGGCTAGCTTATGGAACAGGTTTCCTTTGCAGAAAGTAGCCTGAGGAGGATGCATCATCCTGAGTCAAAGGCGAGTCTACATCATTGTCCCTACATTGCTAGCACGAAAAAAAAAACAGACGGATTCGAATTGCAAAGAGAGCTTGCGAAACCCCGTTCTGTATGCAAGACGCGTAGCTGTAAGGTAATACTGTGTACAGGTACCAAAAGTCGCATTCTGTGGCTTGTTCACTTCTTCAAGAAGAAACACGTAAACAAACGTTTCTTGGAATCGTCTTTGGTCTCACTTCCATAGAAGAAAAAGGTGGAGAGTATAGCGAATTGATACAAATCGCTAAACTGTTCTCAAAGTTATTCTTTTCTTTTGGGGATATAAACAGTCAGTCAGCAACCGTCACAGACAGCAAGTTATTAGCAAGTTTTTAAGGAAATCGTCTATAATAAATTTTCGTTGTCAGATTGACTCGCTATTAATGGCGATTAATAATTAATTAAGTTAATGGGCAAACTCTGGCGAAGCTATGAGAAGCAAAAAGATATAGATTGAATTGCGAGTTCAATTATCAGCCCTTCGGAAATTTTTATTTATTTAAGAATTTCACTTCTATTTACTAACGATACCCGCTATCGCCTCTATTAATGAGCAGCCTGAAGTAGAGTCATTTGAAGTTTCATTGCTGACTAAACGCTTTACGTAAAGTGTCATTATTAATGAACACTTTGGTGTAATCTAAAGAGTTGAGCAGAAGAAGAACACTGAGCAAACAAATTTGAATTTTGACTAATCGTCTTTGTGCCGAGTGAAGTTCGGTCGATGTACTGTGTTATAAACCACCTTTTGAACGCAAATTATCACAGTTGTCGAAAATCCTCTATGCATCATTCTGTTGCAGATGGTACACTACTATCAACGATTGCGACAAATCTGGTGAAGACTTAAATGAATATATCAGGGTGATAAAAATTTCAAAGGTGTGCATGTCCAGTAGGAAAATTATAGAACTTCCTTTCACTTGTTTATTTCCGTTTACTTGTCATGTGAAATATATGCCTAGATAAAGAGTTCAAGTTTTGCGTCTGAAACTCCCGTTAGGTATTATATTAGACATCCACTGATAATGTATCTCAATTTATGCATGTAACATACCTATTTAAGTCCTCTTACTTAAAAAACAGCGATTTTACAGGTATCGAGGAGTGACTAAAACGGTGGTATCGTAAAGGAGAGCAAATCGCATCCATACTTCCTGAATTTCGTTCCTTTCCTTAAGACAATAAAATTTTTTATTGCTCGTCAATATAGTGTCGCACTGTACCCATATTAGTATCAGCTCCCCCTAGAAACGTTTTCTTTTGCTTTTGCAACAACAGCGTGTTACTTAATAAGTTTACTGCATGTTGACAACATGAAGAAGTTATCATCTAAGAGTAGATTTAGTATTCCAAAATGAGATTCAACACACTTTACCTGATTGAAAAATGCGACGAGTTGGCAAAAGTGCAATAAATCCTTATACGAATAATTGAATTAAACTTATACTTATTGCTACACTAGTTTGTCGCGTTACAGAACAAGTACTTGTCAAACGTTCCGTATGAGTACCCTAACAGAGTCCAAAAATAAAACCGAACAAGGATACACGGCTTATATGAATAATACTAAACGTTTCACTGATACATCCCTAAAGTCTGCATCCATCTTTATCTGAGCGCAAATAACGAATTCGACAAAGATTAGTTGGGGCGGCGAAAGACTCTAGAAAGATTTCTTAAAGAACTTTTAGAGAAAACTCAAAAAATTTGCACCGGCTCAAATGAACTCCCGCCGCGTCAATTACCACAAGAGTAAAACGAACTCTTAGGCTATCCTTCGATTAAAGAAAAAGCTGCAGACAAGTACAAATAAAAATACTAGCTGAGCAGTAATAGTATGTTAGGTCAACAAGAATTTTTAATCCGTAGGCCTCAAAAAACTATCTCAGTAGGCTTGCTACGCTAATGGCTGTGTTACAGTAGAATACAAAGAGATACACACAGTTTGAGCCAACCCCCTCCTCCGGCCTTCGTTGTCTAATAGATTAAAAACCAGATAGTCGTTAACTTATTCATATATGACATTTTTACAGGAAAGAAATGCCTTCATAAACGGAGAAAGTAAAGCTAACTCTAAAAGCAACTGTCAGCCTATTTTGTCTGAAAATGGAAAGCGACATTTAGTGCTCTCTATAAATCGACATTTGATGAAAGAGACAAAGAGAAATATAGGATAAAAGATAAAGCACATACTCAAATGTAGCCTAACGATTAAGTTGACACACTCATCATTCGACCTCACCCACGCGTTAACTCGTATCAATGCACACTAAGTTGACACAAAAACTGAATGAAAGAAAGAACTTACGGGTCGGGTGCGAGGTTGAGCCGTTTGCGGGTGATCACCTGATGGGGCTTAGGCTCCGAGACCATGTTCACGTCTGAAACGCCGGACCGGACAAAATGCAAGAACAACAACACAAAATACAACCACGTCTGCAAAAACTCCGACTGCTGCAGCTGATTTCAAAACAAATCAGTGAGAGAATGACCGAAATTGCGTGTGGGAGGCAGAGGAATATAGGCTGCCATCACGTCACCCTGAACTCTGTCATCCTGTTAGTAACGCGGAGACAGGTAACATCGGTGGTGATGGGGCTGCCATGAAAGAAATTTGAAAGCCGCAACGACGCACCGGCGTAGCGATGTAATGTGTCCGAGGGGCAAGACGGCAGAAAGAAATTTTGATTGTTTTGAAACTGCAGTGATCATCGTCAGGCGGGCGAACGTTGCGACTTAAAAAAAAGGTTAAAGAAACACAAGTTGTTCACGAATTACAGACGAAGTGGCGTGCCGTCATCAAATTGTGTTTTGCAAATGATTAAGCAACGAGCAACAAGTAAATATACGTTGCTGTTAGGATTCATGATTCAGAATTTCATGAACGAGAATGGGAAGAAACCCATTCTCAAGTGAGAAAAAAATTGAAAACAACATGGGATAGCCACAACTAAACGCTAGAAACACTAACAATAGTAATAATAATAATAATCATCATATTAAGCAACAGCTGTAAAACGGCGTCAATTGAATATTCTTGAAAAGATAATATCGAGAGAAAACTATCACGGCCGGCAGATACGTGGAGGTTAAGGTAGTTGTACGAAAGCGCTATGATATCGCCAGAAAAATTGCGTTGCTTTGTCGTGGTGTTGCTGGAAGTGGGTGCGGGGTCGCGCTAAAGAGGTTCACAAAGGCTGGCGTGAACTACATTTAGGAAATGGTGTTTTGCAGAAAGGAGAAGGAAAAGTAAGACAATGATTGGGTCGGAACAGAGGAAGTCTGGCACGCAGCAAATGGCCAGTATGAAAATATTCTTTTAAATACTATGAAATTTAGACTTCACTGACAATTAGCATACAACGAAGAGGATTTTATTGTGATTGGAATTGATGCTTGGTTGCACTACTTACCGAGCGTAACTTCGACTAAGTATGTCATTATGTTCAGAGTACCTCATCCGGTAGGCCAATTATACACTCAACTAATATTAGATATATAAATATTTGTTCACCTTAAACTACTGGAAATAAAATAAATGTTGTGTCTATATACCTTACCGTATCTTTCTCAAAAGCTTCAGCGCTAGTATTGGTTTCTTCTCGACGTTTGATCGAGGGGTCTGTGAATATGATCGATCAACTCACTATAACGTATATTCATAACATAGAGATATCTTTGGCAGCTTTCGCTACGCTCGAGCTATATCCCCACTGAGCTGTGAGAATAGTCGTGTAGCTGTTGTCAGGTTCATAGCAGCATCTAGAATTTTACTACGCTAATTTGAAGGAAGTCGACTTCAGTGAGATTTATATTTTACATGTATAAAAATAGCGATAATTAGTAGAGGCGTTGTGAGGATGTGGTTGTCAGATGTTTCGTAATATTGCGTTTTCCAACGACAGTGATACGGACGGATGATATCTACAGGCAAGGGCTTAGCACGTATAATAGGCCCTTAATCCACTGTTTGCCTAAAGACTTATGGTAAAGTTTTAAAAGGAATTGTGGCATTGATGTAATCTTGGGCCGGTGTTGCACTCGTTTTTAAGTGAAAGGAACTGCCCTTGACAGCCTATTTTCGGCCTATTTTGCAGTGGTTAAACCTAAAGGAAGAACGTATAGCTTAAGACAAAGGATGTACCTCTGCTCGAGATTTTGACCGACATTTGAATATGGTGTCCAAATTTGATTGAAATGGTCCGAAAAATATCTCGTCCTATGTGATAAGATATGACTCAATGAATCTGCTTCACAAAGGAGCTGCTGCAGTGATTGGTAAACGCAAAAACTGATTAATACGCATTCCGATCATTTTTCCCATTTCATGGTATAATAGCGCGACTGCTTCGCAGAATAGCCAAGAAAATAATAAGCTTTAATCGTGTTGGAAGGCTTGCGTCAATAAAGGGTAAAAAGTTCGCGACAGATAAATCGGTCCCAGGACGCTGGATTAATCGTCATGCGTCACGTTCCCATCTTCACCAACTCAGAAAGTTTGTCAAAGAAGAACATAAGAAACTACAGGGCATCTATAATGTGTATCTATTCATAAGGTTCAGGAAATAAAATATTGGGCAAGAGCTGTTTTGAAGATGAAGATAACTCGGTGGCACGCAGCCTCAAGATTACATCAAGGATTTCAAGACAAGACAGGCATTACAAGACGTTCGACCCAAAGGCGTTTCTACGGTCTCGCGTACAAATATAGAAGTTTGCAAGGAGTTAGCTAAGAAGAAGAAGGTCTCAAGATGCGAGATGAGGACAGCATCCTGGCCAGGAACAACAGTGCCTGCGAGAATCTACTTCATCAAGGTGTTCAGCAAGAAAAAGCCGTTCTGTTCTGAAGTGGCTAGAGAGAAAGTAAAAGGTCTGCTTCATTCGCTTTAAAATCAGGACTCCAGTTTTCACAGACTCTGCCGCCCAACAACTGGTGCGTCGCGTTCAGCAGAGGGTTGAGAAGAGATAAAAGAGAAAGTATCTGCAGATCAGCTGTTGTTTTAAGATAGAGAAAGCCATAAAGTAAGCAGTCAAGTCGGTCAAGATGCTGTCCCCCCCGAAGTCGGTCGTCGGCCAGGACGGCCAGGATGCGGGCAGCCGGGGTGGTTGGTGTTTCAAGTTCGGTTCGTAGTGGTTCGTAGTGTGCCAGTGCGATGGTTCGAGGGTACGTGGTTGGTTGGAGGCCTGAGGCCCGCACACCGCTCGGGGGTGCGATGTGAGGAGTGTCAGTCTCACGAATTTCTCATGGATCTACATGGGCGGGCGCAAGGCAGGCAGCTATGGATGCTTACGTGAGATCGCTGAAACGGAACGATGGCCAGAATGCCTGCTGTAGATCCAATTGTGCAACCATCCAACTGCATCCAACCATCCAACTTCTGCAGAAGATTCGACCAAACAATGTAGGTTGACGCAAACGGGCGACGGTGAGGTGAGGCCCCTGTAGTTTTCCTGCTATATATATATATATATATATATGTATATATATATATATATATGTATATATATATATATATATGTATATATATATATATATATGCTAAATTTGTATCTACTGAACGGCAGAAAAATCTGTCTGTACGTGTAACTTGCCTGTATGCAAGTTTCCTTGATGGGACAGCCAAGTGTTGCACATATGGCCTCGGTCCCATTTTTGTACCAGGGGCCTCCCTGCAACTATCGCGCCGTTTAGGAGCATGCTTGTAGTCTTTTAATGTTAGTCGACGTCTCAGAATCTTGAGGCGTTTGATATTCTCAAAGTCTGGTGAGGACGACATTCTCCGTTTTTCTGACCCTGCCTGTTCTGTCATCACTTACCGAGTATTTGTCCTGCGACGGTTCGCCCGTCCTCCCCAAGAATAGCGTTCCGGGCATCATAGGTGTCGGTGAATTGCACGAATGCGTAGCCCTTATGCATTGAAATTCCTATAGAAGCAACCAGTAAAATAAGGCGCATACTTATGTAAAAAGTACTACGAAGCATCGATTTGGATTCTGCTAATTGATGCTATCTATTTTTTAGTATTGTTCTATTGGATTTATATATTTTTTTTGTTTGTATTATTAAGTCTATTTTTACGATCAGAGAGGGCAAAGTATAAGCTTAACGAGTGCCTTAGCTTGTTTCATTCCCGATTCATGGTGGGGCTTCGTCCAACAGCAGGACAAAAGTATATTGCAGTCCTTTCAGAAGACAACGCGCTACCGCTATTTAAATATTCCATTAAGGTCACAGTAGTTTGGCTCAATTTTTAGCTCTTCCTGAGAAGCTATTCTAGCCATTATATTATTTTTTTTAAATCTTATTTTTCAGCTCCAAATGTTAATATTAGGTATACGTCTTTAGCTAAGTTCATTCTGGTACCGTTTATCCCAATTTAATGGCCTTAGGACCATCATATTTACATTGCTGATATGGTTCTCTATTTATGCTCATTTAGAGCATTGGAGCATGTGTGTACCATATACACATGGCATATGCTTCCAAAAACACTTCATGCATATAGTCGTTTCAACGTTCTTCGAGTCATTCATTACGCCAACTGATCGGTTTTTTTTTTTACAAAAGACTACATATTTATACTTTTCTGGATTCTATACCTTCTCAATGAAACGATTCATGTTTAAAATCTGTTGAAACATCCGGGTGACTGTACCTTCAGGTTTTAATAATAAAGAGCACCTTCAAATGAAATTTATCGGGCGCACACTTGCATCTAAGTTGACGAGTAAAACATAACAAGAAGTAAAATATCTGAAACCAAGCCTCAAAGCAAGAGACGAAAGTGAAAATATTAAAATTGATTGAACTTTTTGCGTGGGTTCGCTCAAGTCAGTTTAGTGCGTACCCCCGTCGCCTGTAAGTGTAAACACTGTCAGAAGGACTTGGCACATTTCAACGAAAGCTAGCGGAAACTGGCGCGATGTGCAGGAAAGCATCTCGAAAAGAATCAAGCAGATTTTCCAGCCGTTGAATGTATCTAAGTAAAAACAACCACGACAGTTATCCGCAGATGTCTGTAAAGTCACAAACGGATGGCGCGATACGGGCAATCGTCATTGTCCGTTGTACACAGAGACGTAACCCCTCCCCCTTCCTGGCATCTTTCTAAGTTCACGCAGGTATACGACCTAGACAAAAATGGTGCGGGCAAACATACTGAACTATTTCCGTCCAGCTAATGCTGCGTACTTCCCATCAAAGTGTGAAAAAAGTACCATAACATTGATGAAAAAGAGTCGCTAGTGTGGAACAGAGGCACGATATGAGGAATGACACCTGATAAGAAAAAAAGCCTATTCAGCCTTTTAAGAATTGAGCGTCCAATTGAAAATTCCTCTGTGCTTTTTCTATAATAACAAGTAAGTTTGCTCGTATGCAGTAGCAATTAAAAACAAATTAAGTGAAAAAGTATACAGATAGATTTGTTAGTATAATCATCAAAGGCTTTTAATCGGAAGGATGTTTATGCGCCCTAACGATAATGCGTAGTTGTCCGGAGCAATTTTTCTCTTCGAATTGTATATTCGGCTTGTGTTTGGCCCGTTTCAGATATTGAGCAAATACTTTACGTTTCGACCGCATATAAAATTTGAACTCCACTTCCTAGTGTCCTACAGAAAGACCTATATAAAGCTAGCTGTATAATATGTTATCAAGTATCATATATTGTTCTTTCAAACGTGGTAAAAGAAAGTTTTGCTTAATTGGTTAAGTCAACAAGAACAAGAATGAAAAATGTGTAAAAAATTGTTCTTAATACACCATCATCATCATTATTATTGTCCGTAAGTACGTCGAGGCACCTATCATGCCTAAACCCTATTTTGTTTCTTCAATACGGCGATCACCGATTCCGCAGTTAGCTACGATCTACGAAATTGAGAGGACACACTGCTAAGCAACCCTGACTATGACGCACCTTCGAGGTTCCTATGGAATCTTCCACAATGATGTTAGCCTGCGTCTTTTCATTTTATGTGCAAACGGTTAAACGTGTTTTCATCACTGTTACGTTCTTCCATTGGAAATTATACACAAGGAACTTGAGAAATCCTTTGTAATTTCAACCACTTGCACCTAATATATAACTTCGGGTTTTATTTCGCCTTTTTTTTTTAATACATATGAAGGTGTAGTGTTTTTATACGTGTTCACTGAAGCAACGAAAACCAGCATATGCAAGCTTGAATAGTGGGTAATAATACAATTTTTCTTATACGAATTCAGTTTAATGACTGGCGGCTTTGTTACAACATTGGTGAAATTGAACAACAGAAAACTAGCAGGCAGGCAGGCAGGCAGGCAGGCTACATTTGAATGCGTGCAATTTGCACTTATTGCTTTACTTACCGATAATCTTTCCATACTTCTTGAAGAGTCTTTCAACGTCTTCTTTCGACACAATATGCGTATTCAGGTTGCCAACAAAAATGCGCGAGTTGACTGCGGCTGGGTCTGACGAGTTGGTTTGATTTCCAACTCGAGTCATTCGGCCTCCGGATCCACCATGACCACCTCCGTGTCCTCCGCCTCCACTGCCGCCGCCGCCGCCGTTACTGCCACCACTTCCATGGTGACTGTGAGCTGAGTGGCCGTGCCCTGCGGTGGCCTGGCTGCCCGGCAGGCCACCGAATAGCGGGCCGAACAGATCCAGAATTGCCCCTGGATGACTATAGGTCAACAACAACAGCAGTACAACACAACAACAACAGACGCACGAAACAGGAGAGCAGTACGTTGTTACGTCGAGTCTAATTACTTGCTCCAGCAATGCAAAAATATTTTCGTGGCTCTCCAAGAGGGCTATTTCGAAGAATATATGCGGTTAATAATAGGTTCTCAGCATCAAACTCAAAGATCTGTTAGGGCGACGTATGAATTAGTTAGCGCTAAGAAAGAAGCAGCGATCCAAATATACCCCTACTGCTAGACGCCGAGACAGGTCAGACGCGATATATTATTAGCTGTTTAAAAATTCGCCTAATTTTTCGAAGGTTTTAAAAAATCAGTCTTCGGCAACACATGACTCTGAATTAATTCTCCGAAAGACCGCTCTTTTACACTTTACATTACGATAGTAATGGTAGCAATAGCAGCACATCTCAGGGAAGTATTCCCAGTGATAGCCCATTTTTCGAAAAATTCATTGGACCAACTGCCTCGTGTACAAGAAAATGTCTCATATTTTATAGTTATGATACTGTTCGTACGTATCATTCCAAAAATAGCATTCAAATTACCGTATGAATCGTCCCATGAAAAAGAAAGGGACGAGATACAGACCACAGCTCCACAATGCAGTATCTTCTACACTGAGTGGCGAACAAAAGTCTTGGATGAGTTCAGCACGTTAATGAAGCTGTTTGAATCAAGATTGTCTTAAACTTAAAATGTCAAAGCCTATACGCGCGGTCCACATGCCTCAAGCCAGAGACATCATGTTTCCTTATTATAACTTAAGCCCAAGCGAAAGAACGAAAAGCATCGAACTGGTCATTATCTTCTCTGGCAGGTTCGACCACGTACCTGAACTCAAACAAAACTATGAGAGCCCTAAATAAAGGTTTAGAAAAAACGACGCAAAGAGTCGCGTAGCCTGGAAAGTCTCCTGATTTAACGCATCGAATTAGGACAGGTTAACTAACACAAACGGTTAGATTCGACCGGCGTAGTTGGTAATTTTGCCTTGCGCCTTTGCCGATTGGATCTACCATGTCAGTTTTGACTGCCAAATTATTTCCGGAGCCCTTGCTACTAGCTTACCGACAGATGCCTTCTCTCTATGTGCCAGTGTCACACCGTTGGCGCACATTAAACATGTGGAAGTTGTATCCATTTCATACAAGCGCAGCGGTAACTGATAACAGTGTTGAGTGGTACGTTTCATCTTCCGCATTATCGCGCCCAGGCACCATCACCGCGTACAAGTTATTTCCTTTTATGCATCAAAACACCCAACGCACACATCGCAATGTAAGCACGCGACCAATTCTTCTTGTGAACAAATAACACAACGCTTGGTCGTGTTTCGAGCAACTAGCCTTGATATCCTTTCGAATACAGGTTGCGCATGCGAGCCAACATCTATCGTCGAAATTATAAACGTTCTTGACTAGATTTCTTAAAATAGCTCGACTAATATAGAATCTTAGCTAGAAATTCCATCAAGATATTAAGAAGAAAATATTTTAGTATCTTGAAAAAATTGTTTATTGGCCTCGCTGTCATATCTAACGTGATATGCTCTGGATTTTTAATTGTCAAATGCTAGCCGAA